GCATAGGGAACTAACCTCACACTCTGTAATGGCCTATTTGGGAAAAGAATCTGAAAAAAGAGTAGATATATGTATATGTGTAACTGATTCACTATAATGTACAGCAGAAACTAATAACAAAGTAAATCAATTGTACCCCAAATAAAAATTTAAAATAAATAAGTAGAATAAAAATAAAATGAGAAAACAGAAATAAATGATTCAGTAACTTGTCTAGGTCACCCTGTCAGGGAATGGCTAAGCAGGAGTTAGAAATCCAGTCCTATGTCACTAAAAAGACCTTGTCTTTTCCACCACTCATTCATTCATTCTTTCTCTCTTTCTTTCCAAGCCAACACATCACATTGAGCACTGGTTTATGGCTTCCTTCCCAAGAGGCTCCCATACATGATGAAGCTGTGACCATTTGGCTAGTTACAAAAGCCAGCCTATGACCAAGAGTTTAGGATGGAGGATAAAGTGATCTAACTGAAAAAAGCCTCACGGATCAAGTCCTGGGCTAGTTGTTCAGACACTGCTCAGGGCACATGTGCAGGAAAAGAGCCCTTTACAGAAAGCAGAAAACGGGAGCAGCGGGGGTGGCGGAGGTTGGGAGTGGTGTAAGGTGCTTTTGCGCAGACGCGCTGGCATTCGCTGACAGTGGGTCTCTTCTGCACCATGTTGGCCTAAGGGCGGTTTTTGTTCAATGACAGAGGATCTCTTATGCAACGTGTATTCCACCCAGCAGGCGCAATAGTAGAGCCCCGAATCCTCTTCAGTAGCCTGGTGTATCCTGAGGCTCACCAGTTAGTTACTCGGCCATTTCCTTGCTTCATATCTTTCCTCACTAATCCCTTGTTCGTGAACAACATTCTCGTTGGAGGAAATATACAGAATTCGTTTTAGAGGCTGCTCTGGCTTCTGTCAGTACCAGTGCATGTACACATTCTTCTTTAACTTATCTGTTTTTATTTGGCATTCAAGAAATGCTGTATTTCCTTTTTTCTTGGTAATGGATGTTATGCGTTGCGTTATTGAAATATCTCCACTTGTGTCTGAAAGAAAAAACAAGAGGAAAAATTAATGAAAATTTGATGTTCATTAACGTAGTCTACATGTGTTCTCTACTCATGAAAAGCCTGAGGACTGATGTTTACATTTTCTTCCGGAACAGCTCAAGGTATTGGTGGAATTTTTCAGCCTAGCTCGAGAGACCATGTGACCAGCATCCGCCTGAAAAGGGTGATGTGACTGTCCATGATCTATTCCCTTCCTTGGGTAAAGCCACTCACGTGTCCAGAAGGGGGCCACCACCAAGGCCTGGGGCAGGAGCAGCATGCTGCCAGCTCTGGTCAGGAGATGTGATTGAATAATGGGAAGACTGCAGAGCAAACCGGCAGGTTGCTTTAGTAGGAGGAAGTGGTGTTTAGAACACACAGCTAGCATCCAGGCTACAGAGACAGGGCTGGTGGTAATTCTCAAACATCCTGTGGAAATAGGTCTGCTATTTCATCAGCAGATTTCTTTCAATCACCCTGTGATTTTCACCAACCAGTGACGTTAGTATAAAGAAACAATTGTATGGTTAAAAAGTCCTTTACTGATCTAACAGAGGGGAAGAGAAAGACGAGCGAGGAGAGGCCAAAGTCCACACCTGCCAGGCTCATGGGAACTTGAAACATCTTTGATGGTCACTATATTGCATCGGGCAATCACAGATGCAGGGACAGCTTACTAGCAGTGTATGACCCTGCTCTATACTTTCTATAACCCAGCTGAAGAAGACTTGTTTCAGATTCTTATTTTTGAATATGACCATTAAATGGAATCCTTAGAGATGCTGTGTCCTTGGAGTGCCTCAATATGCCTTAAAAGCAAAAGCCATTGTTATTTTCTATTATAAAATGAGTGCAACCTCAGTATGGATCATAAAGAAACACAAACAGAAGAGAAGACAATGGCTTTTTGTCCCATCGCATAGAAACAACTATGTCTATTCCTTTTAAAATTTTGTTTCACATAGGTATGATGATATATATGCAATGTTATGCTCTGTCTTTATTATTTAATAAGATACCATGAACATTTTTATATTCTGTAATTTCTTCCTTATAGGGTTCTGACTCTTAGCAAGGTTCTTTGGTTGACCACCACGTTGACTCTCAGATAAGTTAGGGTCCCACAGACTCTTTTCATTTTACATGGAAGTCCACAAAACAGGAGAGCAGAATAGAAAATTCATTACTTAATTCATCGCTCAGTTTTGAAACCCTGTTATGTTCCCTCTGGTCACCTAGCAGCTTACCAAAATATACTGTATCATCTGTCTTCCTTTTCAAGCTTCATTTCCTTATCGCTCTACTTGTCTGCCTGCATCTCCCAAATAAATTCAGTTCAGTTCAGTTCAGTTCAGTTCAGTCACTCAGTCGTGTCTAACTCTTTGTGACCCTATGGACTGCAACATGCTAGGCCTCTCTGTCCATCACCAACTCCCGGAGTTTACTCAAACTCATGTCCATCACGTCAGTGATGCTATCCAACCATCTCATCCTCTGTCGTCCCCTTCTCCTCCCACTTTCAATCTTTCCCAGCATTAGGGTCTTTTCAAATGAGTCAGTTCTTTGCATCAGGTAGCCAAATTGGATTTTCAGCTTCAGCATCAGTCCTTCCAATGAATATTCAGTACTGATTTCCTTTAGGATGGACTGGTTGGATCTCCTTGCAGTCCAAAGGACTCTCAAAGTCTTCTCCAACACCAGAGTTCAAATGCATCAATTCTTCGGTGCTCAGCTTTCTTTTTAGTCCAACTCTCACATCCATACCTGACTACTGGAAAAACCACAGCTTTGACTAGATGGACCTTTGTTGGTAAAGTAATGTCTCAGCTTTTAATATGCTGTCTAGGTTGGTCATAACTTTCCTTTCAAGGAGTAAGCGTCTTTTAATTTCATGGCCGCATTAACCAGCTTGTTTAGAGCGTCCACTCTGAGGATACGAATAAATGCTCCTCCCCTCCTATGCTAGCACTCCTTTGAAGATGAGATATCCTTTCCAGACACCAAGGTCAAGCTGTGTCACCATGCACATGCTAATCTGTCTCTTTGAAATCTTGAAGAAGAGCACCCTTGTCATGTTTGATGTCTGATCTTTGTTCTGAGAGAAATAAAAGTGTCATTGAGGCATCCCAAATGGTGCTGGGTGCCATTGTGGATGTGGTTTCAGACATGTTCCTGCATTGCTGAGAACTTGAATTTTCTGAAGGGTATCAAATTCAGGGACACCACCAGTCCTTTTAAAAACTGTTATCTGCTAGCTGCTGCCAGCTGCAACCTTATGGTCTCGGGGTCACCTTTTACACCTTGCTGGCTCCAGTCTTATTAACACAACAAACTATGGTTTTTAAATCAGGGGCACCTGGGCTGTTGCCGTCAGTTTAACTCAAGTAAAAAAATTATTTGTATTCTTGTTAAAGATTATTTATGGATTATTTGCATCAACAGGCTGTTGTGTCCCTTTACTAAAGTTTGCAGCTCCCATCAGGTGACCTCTTGATACCAATGTCCTCACAGACATGTAGCAGTTCCATGTCCTTTCAGGTCTAAAGGGAGAGTGGCTTCGTGCTGCCCTGGCAAAGCTGAAGGGTAGGGACAGAAACTATATGGCATGCAAATCGGAAAATATTTCCTTCACAGAAAATGTCTGACAACTCCTATTTTGGAACAATTAAAAATAACATTTACATCCATTTATTATACTTGTAGTACATATCATTTCTTTCTGTAAATTCAAATTTTGACCTATACTGTATGTTTTATGCCTAAATAGCTTACTTTAACATCTCTCATAGAGTAAGTTGGCTGGCAATGGATTCCCTCAATTTTGTTTTGTCTGAGAATTCTTCATTTCTCCTGTACTTTTGAAGTATATTTTTGCTGAGATGTCCATTTTATCTTCCCTTCTTTTAAAGATTTTATTCCATTGTCTTTTTGAGACTTCCCTGGTGGTCCAGTGCTAAGACTCATGCTCCCAATGCAGGGAGCCCATGTTTGATCCCTTGTCAGGGAACTAGATCCTACATACTACAACTAGATCCTAAGACCCAGCACAGTCAAACAAATGTATAAATATTTTAATAGATTTTAATTCACTGTTTTCTTGTTTGCATGCTTAATGAAGTGAGTCTACTATTTTTTTCCCATCCAGCTGCAGGCCTCCACCCCCATTCATTTAACTGTGACCACAAAGGAAATCACACCTCCATGCTTCTGTTTCATCAGTTACAAAATGTGACTCTTGACAGCACCAATGCCAATGGATTATCTCAAACATGAGAACAATTTACCTCATTAGAACAGTGTCAGAAAGAGTAGCAACTGAATGCATGGCCACTGTGAGGCTCTGCAGGTTCACTGCAGAATCCTGGGGAAAAGGATCCTGACTGAAGTGTCTACCTTGTTCTGGGATCCTCTAATGGCCCCAGGAGGTCAGAGGTCAGTGCAAAAGGAACTGTGATGGTCAGGCTGTAACACAAACCCTGAGTGCACAGTCAACAGTCACCCCATTCATGGAAGAAAGGGAAAGAGCCTCATCTCAAATTCACCCCAGTCTGCAGGGAATAACCAGACTCTGAACTTCTTCAGGATGGCCTGAGAGAGTTGAAGGGACATGGGATTTAGGGTCTAAAAAGTCATTTTATCCAGCTGCATCTTAAATTACTAGTATTAATGTGGAAAATGTGAATATTACATTGCATCAGTGTTGTGATGCTGATATAAGATGCAATATCACCAGTGGGTTTTCTGGTGATTTCCTCTTTGAGACTGAGTCATGTAACTTGCAAGTAATCTCTGGATAGTTAAAAAAAAAAAATCATACAAGATGCACTTTCTTTAGTGGGAGGCTTAGGCAGGGCTCCCAGCTCTGCAACCTCTGTGGCTGCCTGTGTTGAGGATGTGGTGAGCACAGACCTGGTGATGGTTCTTGTGCGTGTTATCCAAGGAACTCCCACACTGTGGGCAGACACCCAGCCGGCACAGTAGTACATGGCCTCATCGTCTTTCTCTAAGAAACTTATTTTCAAGGTAGAAGTGGAAGAGGAAACATCATTTTTGGCCTCAAGCTTGTTTTTCGTCCCTCCTAAGTGACTTTGCGCAGGGGCTGTTGAGACGTATAGTAGCTGTTCTAAACCCTGATCTGGTTTTTGCCGGTACCAGTGGATGTAATCTTTGCTGAAGTCCTTAGAGGACACCTTGCAAGACACAATTGCACTCTTTTCTCTTGTTCCAGTAACTGACACTTCAGGTTGCTCCAATGTTAGTTGCCCAAGGCCAACTGTAAGCAAAGAAGAGAAATCCCCATAAACAAAAGACATGTGAAGAGGCAACAAGAAAGACCTTCTTAGTCTCTCCTAGACTGAAATGACTGAGAGGGCAACTCACAAGACCAGAGGGAGGAGAAGAGGACAGCTTCCAGCAGTGCCATCTCGTCACCAGACTGACTCCCAGGGAAGAGGTAAAAAAGGCAAGGTCTGTTGGCAGGAAGTCTCAGGCCAGTGGCAGGGGAGTGGGCCTGGATCTTGTGTCTCAGAGAAAGAGGTGAATCTGGTAGTATGGTTGTCTGGGGTTCTTCATAATCTGCAACAGATATGAGCAGCTGTGGTTTCACGGGGGTTTCCTGCCCCTAAGTCCTGTGCAAGTGGCTTAAGAGAAGGATCATGATCTGAACAGACAACCCAGAGATGAATGCGTATACTTGAGGGTGGGGCTACTCTCATAGCCGCTCAGCTCATCTCCCTGAAATATCATACCGTAGTAACCTTGGTACAGAAATAGGAAGACATCCCTGCTGTGTTCTTTCCCGATGTCTGTCTTTCTGTAAATGGTTGGTGATCCAGGACTCGTGTATGAAACCTGACCTTTATTTTTCTGTAATGCTACAGAAAACCATCAGACGTAAGAATATCTTCTTGACATGATTTAATATACAAGCACTGGAATACTTTAGAGTTTTTTTTTAATTAATTGAGATGTCACCATGCAAATTACCATTCAGAGAAATCACGTTTTGTTTACAATCTGGGTGCCTTCAAAAAGGGACTACATTGCAATTACTTGTGGATCTTTGAAACAGAGCAGGCTGTGGAAATCAGCTGCTACTCAACCTGGACCTGAGAACAGTTTCATGAGCATTATGTCACATGCAGGGGTATTTTTAAAGCAACGTTCTGTTGAATATGCAGTGATAACCTTTAAAATTAATATGGCATCTAATATGTATTGAGGACTTTCTATTCATCAGGCATGGTTCTAAATGTTCTCATATTGTTTTATTTAATCTTCTTCACTATTCTGGGAGGTAGCTGTTATGAATATCTCCATTTGACAAAGGAGAACAGTGGCAAACAGACTCATTTAAAGACGTGAGGCTGGTAAATTGGTAACTCCCAAAACCACCATTGTTTATTAAAGGAAATGGGTAAAATAAGATGTAAAGAGGACCAAAAAAGCACAGATCATTTACTTTGAAAATTTCTCTGCATTTTTACGGCTAGAGATCAGATTGATGGGTATTATTTATATAAATATACATTTAAGTGGAATTTGCATGTTTAGCTGTATATTCTCGTTTGGTTATCTTATGATTGTAAGCAGCACAGCTTTTTAAATATAATTTTAGTTATTTATTTATTTATTTTTGGCTATGCTGCATCTTCATTGCTTCTCGGGCTTTTCTCAGGTTGCTGAGAGCGGGGGCTACCCTCTAGTTGTGGCGTGTGGACTTCTCCTTGTGGTGGCTTCTTTTGTTGCGGACCACGGGCTTGAGGGAGCACGGGCTTCAGTAGTTGTGGCTCTCAGGCTCTAGAGCACAGTCTCAGTAGTTGTGGCACATGGGCTTAGTTGCTCCACGGCATGTGGGATCTTCCCAGATCAGCAATGGAACCCTGCATTGGCAGGTGGATTCTTTACCACCTAGGCACCAGGGAAGCCCCAGAAACATAGTTTTCAATAATCTATGTGATATTATTTTTAATTGTTAATAGTTATTTTTAATAACTAAAAAAATTAAACAATTTCCAATACCACTTACCCCATCTGACATGGGCTGAATTAGTTAAGCTTCTTTTGCCTCACTTTCCACAGGTGCAGCTTGCCTGCATACATACCTTTTATTATTTTATTTTAAAATTTCTAACTTTAAATTTGTTTATTTATCTATATTTTTGGCCACATGGGCTCTGTAGTTGCCCCACAGCATGTGGAATCTCAGATGCCTGACCAAGAATCAACCCCATGTCCCCTGCATTGGAAGGTGGATCCTTAACTACTGAAAACTTCGTTTGCAATGGCTGCATAGTTTTCTATCCTTTGAACACAGTGTAAATCTTTCCCTGTTATTCACCGTTTATCCTGACATGTGAGAGGCTGCTGGAGACTTCTCCTCTAAGATCTGATACAGAGGGCCCTACTATGGACATCCCATTACTGCTTTATGGGGCGCTTTTGATTACTCAATGAGCCATCATGTGAAGAAGGGAGCAGAAGCAGGTTGACAAGCTTGTCTTCGAGTTCCTGTCTCAAAAGGGCTTATGTTCTCAGACCATTTATTTCTCTCAAGTCTGGGTCTCTACCTTAGCTTGTGTTCAAAGTTTAGGTAAACAACAATGCCCTATTTAGTTTCAAGAAATCAACTGCAGCCTGCACTGAGTGTATCCGATGGATAGAAATTAACTGGACAGACAATCACAAAAGGTTACCTGCATCAGAGGTAGAAGGAGAAAGGTTGACAGACTGATTCTATGTCAGTCTTTCCTGTGAGTCCCCCCTTTTTTTCTTTCAAAGGCCTCCCTGAATTAGTAATGGAACTGGAGTCTTAAGTAGAGGGGGTCATGGGGATGACTATGTTGCCGTGACTTTGGAAATTATCAAATAAATAAGGGAACACTCATGGCATAGATGCAAAGTGATATCCACGGGGTGCCTGGTATGTGCTGTATAAGAAGTGTGGATTGCAAAGTAGTCCTCCTTTGTTTCACAATGATTTGAGAGGTGGCATCACAAAACAATAGAATTTTTATTGTTTTCAAATACTTTGGAAAATAAATTGATAACTTATTGGCATTTCATGTATTCTTTGAAGACTGCTAATGATTCAAATGCTGCTCACAAGATTCAGCATAAAATAGTAAATTGTGCCAGTGAATGTTCCACAAAGGTGAGTTTTGTTTTCTCCATGGAGGTAGGAACGACACATAACACTTTTTACCCCCTTAGAATGAGAAGGAGACTCCAGAGCTACACACCCTGGATCCAACCCTATTCTGCCAAGTGCCAGCTGTGTGACTTGAACAAGTTCCTGAGACTCATAGGGTCTCATTTTCCTCATGAGTCAGCGGGTTTTATGATAACTGAAATCTCACGGGTTGTCATGAGGGTTAAGGGGCTTCATATATATGTGCAAAAAATTGAGAACACTAATAAAGAATTCTCTCACACCCAAAATTATTAGCTGTTCTTCTCTTGGACCATCTTCTCTCTTTCTTTATAGGCAGATACGAGGTGGCTTTCGTTCTACTCACAATATGGAGGGTTCATCTGTTGGTTTCAGTGGCTCAGCCCTCTACTCTGATGACATCATGCTGGCACATCCCTGCCTGTGAAGTGAGGAACCATCTTCCTCCTCCCACAGAAAAAGACACTTGCTCCATCCCAAATTTACCTCAAGTATTCTGTTTGTTATATAGAATTATGATCTTTAAATTTTCAGGATAGCCTTGCAGTCCTGTTAAAAAAGCACAGACTTCTTATCTCTGACCAATCATTTTAACTGTCTAAGCTTTCATTTCTTTGTCTGTAAAATGGGCAGATAATGATTACCATGCAGGAGAACTGTGATAATTATGTGTGGTAATACATATGTACCGTGCCTAGGAATCCTGGTACACAATGATTCCTTTCTTCAGCCTGAACTATTCACAGTTAGTGGAAAACTCTGGATGGTGACATAATAAATAAAGCCCATGTCCACTCATTCGCAGAGAAGACTTGAGTTCATTAGGAAAGAAGATTTGAGAACATCGTGGTCAGAAATGCTTGCTGCTCAAGGTGAGTCCTAATACATGAACACAAGCCAAAGTTTTCTCTTGGAATTCTCAAGAAGGCAGCAGAGATGGTGAGCCAGGGGCTGGAAGCCCAGGTAGGAAGTAGCTGACTTTGCTCCTGTGGGAAGACTATGATGGGGCATAGTCCCAGAAGAGGCAGTTGTTACACTGTGTTGGCATCTTTAGTGCTGTGGGTCCCAACAGCATAGTACTCAATGACCACATCTTTTTCTATGAAATTTGTGGTAAAGACTGAACTCAGCTAAGTTCAGTCACTCAGTCATGTCCAACTCTTTGCAACCCTATGGACTGCAGCATGCCAGGCTTCCCTGTCCAATTCCCGGAGCTTGCTTAAACTCATGTCCATCGAGTCGGTGATGCCATCCAACTATCTCATCCTCTGTTGTCCCCTTTTCCTCCTGCCTTCGATCTTTTTAGCATCAAGGTCTTTTCCAAGAAGTTCTTCACATCAGGTGGCCAAAGTATTGGCGTTTCAGCTTCAGCATCAGTCCTTCCAGTGAATATTCAGAACTGATTTCCTTTAGGATTGACTGGTTTCATCTTCTTGCAGTCCAAGGGACTCTCAAGAGTCTTCTCCTGCACCACAGTTCAAAAGCATCAATTCTTCAGTGATCAGCTTTCTTTATAGTCCAACTCTCACATCCATACAAGACTACTGGAAAAACCATAGCTTTGACTAGATGGACCTTTGTCGGACTTTTGTCAGCAAGTGACTGCACTACCCAGTATTTTATTTTCATCATGAGTCAAACCTGTCTCATGATAAGAGAAAAAAAAAAACCTATAAATAGTGCAGCTTAAAGGATCTAATATATGGAAAACATTGAAAACACTGATAGAGAATTCATTCACACAGCACACACACACACACAAACCAAAGTTAGCTCTTCTGTTCTTGGCAGATACTCTCTCTTCTTTTCTGGAGTGCCTCACCATAAGCCAATGAGGTATCTTCACTACCAACCAGAGATCGAACTATGCCCCCTGCAGTGGAAGTGTGAGTTCTAAATACAGAGCTGCCAGGGAAGTCCCACTTTCTGTTCTTCCACAAGCAGAATCCAGGTAACCAAGGATGGTGGGCTCATCCAACCACCTCAGTGATCCAGAGCTCTATTCTGATGACATCTTGCTGGCAGAATCATTTTCCTCACGTCCCCAAAAATGCTGCACATTTTTTCATCCCTCATCTACCCCCAGTATCCTAGTATTCACT